TGGAGGGCGGAACAGGGTTTACCCAGAATGCGGTTGTTTGTAGGTGAACGGAGAAGCTGACTGCCACTTAGATTTCCTGCGGTACTTGAACGGGCTGTGGTGTACATGTACATGAATCCCTTGCTCAGTGTGAAACTCAAACGACCTCTTGGGGAAAAGTGGATCCAAACCTCCTGTTTGTATCCCCAGCTCAGTTTGAATCTCAGTTGATCCTTCCAGGGAGAGAAGGTCCGACTTCCTGCCAAAAGGCAAAGACAAAAACAATGTTAAGACTCAGGTTGACAAAAACTCAGTTTGACTCAGCAAATCTCAGCTTGGCTAGAGTACCCAAAACTGGTAAACACTCTGGCGTCGAGGTAGTGGCAGTCAGCAGCTTAAGAACACTCCGTTAACGAGGTAACCATCAGCAGATGTGTGAGGAGGCGGACCAGAACCAGGCGCCTCCTGGTGGAGGAAGGGAGACAAACACAGAAACAAACAGACAGGAGTCCTGACACTAACCTGCTTCTCCCAGTACCGTATCTGCTAAATTACCAAAAGAGCTGGCACAATCTCTTTACCATGTTTGCTCTCATGAATATTATAATCATTATGTCTATCAAGTATGAAATACAGTTGCCAACTTTCATGGAAAAAAATTTGCTTTGTCATATGGTGAGAAAGAGGCATGGGTGCAGTGACAGACAACACAAATATGTTTTTGTGCATTAACATGTTTTGACTGTCAGAAATGAAAATATTGGCTTCATTAACTGGCTGACTTTGATCCAACCAGAAATGCCAAAACTCGACCTACTTGTCCCTACCAACAGCTAGATGTGAACAACATCTATAGCATTTATATTTTACAATACAGCTTCGTGGCAGCAGTAGAGGGGTTCTGGATCGAGAATATTGACAGACAAAAACAGTTTTTATCTAAAATGTAAAGTGTTTATATATTTATTTACAATTTTGATATAATTCCTGCTGTAACTTGGTCACTCTGTAAGCTAAAGACATGTTTTAGAGTCTCTATACTCCAATTAACAATTAATCGATTACTAAATTTGTTGACATTTCAATAATCGATTATTACGATGAATTGTTTCAGAGCAAGATAAAATACATAATATGGGTTAAATAGAGTAACTACAGCCTAGATGACTTCTAGAGTGAAATTAATATTCTAAATGCCCAGTTTTAGTTCCTGTGCTCATGGAAATACAATACATTTATTTGGCGTTCCTTGATTGTATTATTTTGCTTTGTTTTATGATACAGAGAGAATATTTAAAAGATAAGAGTAGATTTTACCTCTGTTTACCTCTGAACAATTGTATATCTTCAAAAGAAAAAACAGGATAAATCCACATATAACAGACATATTTAGACCATATTTTGTTAAATAGGCACAGATTTACTTTCTGTCTTAGTCACTGGTAATTTCAAATGCAAACCTTTTCAAAGTGGAAAAAAAGTCATAATTCCTCATTCATAAGAGCTGGTGATGCTCTAGTGTGTGTAGCCCTTATAACATTTGTATAAATGTAGCAAGAAATGCTGCTTTTCGCTTTAAACAAAATAGACCCTGATTTTCACGTCAAGCATAAAAAAACGAGCATGCATATTTTTGCATAGGACCAATGGCATCAGACCAATAGTGCCCTTACCTAAGTTGAAATCAAACCTACACCCTTGGTGACATAAGTAATGTAACAATGAAAGAATTGGATTCCATATTGAGCTCAGTTAAAATTCATCAATGAAAATTAAACATCCACTGCTTGACTGTAACTGATGGTACAACAGAAAACATGTTTCATGATACAAAAAAAACCAACAGTTGGTAAGGATTTATCTTTAGCAGACCTGATATCTACAGTGTTTTCACTGCTGTTGGGTGTCAGGTTGTGTGGAGCTTTGAAGAGGACCCAAATGCAGAGGCAAGGAGGCAGAGATTAGTTTTTGCTGATTTAATGTAGATCAAAGTAGTGATGGTGAGATGAACCATCCCCACAGTTCATGAAGCTTCATGTGAACATATCACCACCTACTGGTAGAGTGCATAACTTCAGTTAGTAATGTAATCTGGGATTTCTTTGTAATTTTTTTTCTTGTTTGTTTTTTTCAGTTAAGTTCCTTTGAAATTTTTAATCATTGGTCTGTATGATAAAATCTTTTGTAAGTTTTTTGTGTGTGCAAAATGTCTTAGAAGAGAAAAATCATATAAGGTACACTGTTTTACTGCTATTTTAGAGAAATAAGCTCAAGCAGAAAGTGAAAGTGCTTGTTTCTAATTTGGCTGTGTGTTTTTACCCAATCTATATTTGCACTAGGGCAAACCGATGGAAGTTCATGGCTTATAGCTGACGCCACTAACAAGGAGGCATCCTCCCAGAAAGCAATATTGCTTAACACCTATGTTAAAACTGTAATCAGTGGCTTGCTCAGATTTTGATCATTACATTGTTTAATCTAACCAAACTAGTCTTAACCAACTGGGTTGGTTGTTCTTCCAACTTATCTATTCTTAGAATCTATCCAAATTCTATCCAACTGACCGCAACATAAAATCCCACATCTTGACTGAATACTGAGGCTGTTTAAATGCCTGCCAAAGTTCCGGGTGAGCTGAACCACTTCCCAAAGCACGTGGTATGTTGGGCTTGCGAGGCTATGGACGTGATTTATTTTGGCTCCTCCCCCAAATAAAGCAAGCTTCGATACACGGCTCACGGAAACCCACCCTCCACTATTCGACACACGCTTCGAAGCCTCGGCTCATCTTATAACATCACTAGATCAAAGGCAACAGAAGGTAAATTTGAAAAACAAAATACAGCAAACCAAAAAACAGGACATGTCAGGAAAAACACACATGAAGAGCGAGGTATGAAGAGAAACCAGCAAACAGTAACTGAAGAGGAGGAGTATAACTGCCAAACAGAACAAAGACTAGGCTAATCAGCAGATTGGGAGCAGGTGTGGACAGAAGAATCTAGTAGGGAGCAAGGGGAAAGAAGACTGAAACAAGAGGGCAACAAAGGGTAAACAAGAAATACATAAGAACTGAAATACAATTAAAAAACAACTACTGTAGAATAACACCAACTAGAAATGAGACCAATGAAAACTCAAATAGAAAACTGAAACGGAACCAAGAACATGAAAGAGGCAGGAACAAACCTGGTTGGTTTACATCATTAGAGAATCACACCAGGATTCCTTCATTGTGATATTTTTTTTTCTAATGTACTGCAATCCAGGAATTTTTTTTGCATTTAGTATTACTTTAATGGGTTAATTCAGACTACAATACCAAGACTCTCTCTGTCTAAATACCAACTATAATAAAGAGAACTAGAATAGTTCATGCCGTTTTAAGTATAGCCTACTGTTATAATGACCCATATTATCCTAACTGGATTTTACTAATGTGTTTCTATGGTGACAATCAGATTGCCTAAATGCATTTTTTCCCTTGATTTGTTATGTTATTTTTGAGTGGAAGCGAACAGACTTAGCTTTGTACATTTTTAATGGGTTACAGCTTTTAAATTTTTGATTAGAGAGATCGGGAGCTAAGTAAGACACTGCTGATTGACAGCCATCCAGAGAGCCAAACATTTACAGTCCACTGAGTGGCTTCAAAACCAGAAGCTAATAGAAGAACTAAAACACTACAGTCGAATGTTTCCTTTTTCAGCTTTCTATTTTTATTTTTTTTTACATTCTAGTTAAATAGTGCTATATTTGAAAAATTCCATTTATGGCTCTCAGATAATAGCTTTATGTGTTCAGCCTGTATTATTAATTTGATATCACATTGACATAACATCAATATATCTACACACAGTTTATTTATAACCGGGCTGAGTCTCTCTCTCATCTTCACACTTGCTAAAATTTCAGTCAACTCAAAGACACAGTTTAAGCTTTACACACGAATGTTTTGGCTTCCGGACTTTCACGCAGCATGAAAAACAACAACAAAACACTCTCATTTAACCTCAGAAACACTTTTTCACTCCATGTCCTGCAGCTTGGAGGCCCTGCAGTGACAGAATCAGAAGACTATCCTCACTGTTAGAAATAAAATGTTGGTGTTCTGTCAGAACTGCAGTATATCTCCACACAAACATCTTTAAAGTACAGAAAGTTTCTTAGATTCTTCGTCTCCACAGTAACTGCCTCTAACTTTAGGTGGATGCCTTGTTACCATGGCAGCGAGGTCTGTCTGTGGACCTGTTATAGATTATGGGATATGATATGTTTGGATTACCTTTGTGCATTTGTGAGGACTTTCCTCAGTTATCCTAGAATTTTTTTGTCTTCGTTTTCAATGTTTTCATAAACTGTGTCTTTTTAAATACCATTTTCTCTTTTTATAGTTTCTTTTTGTTTATGGGCTTTTTCTTGTCATCTCTGTTTACAAGCATGATCTCCGTTTTTACATTTATCTCAATGACCATAATGTTTGGTCTCTAGTTTTTAAATTGATTCATTTCTTTTCTCATGTAGTTTATAACTATGCTAGTATTTCATTGCTCCATTATCCTAATTTAAGTTACATTTTTTCTAATTATCATTCCTTTATTATTTGCTTGCCTCTGCTCTGCTTTTCCTTCTCTTTCTAATGTCTTCCCTCTATCTGATTCAGGCAGGGTTTTTTAGATTTCATTTCAGATTTTTCATAGTTGAAGGACTTTATACTGCAAAGTGAAATATCAAATATTCCTCTGAAGGATGAAGATTCCACTGTGTTACAGTCACAGTTATTTCTTGATCCCCTGTCCTCGGTTCTGTTTGTCTAGGGAAATGAACCTGCGTCACTGTGGATGCGTGGTGTCTCCACATAAAACGGAGGCCTCAGAGAGACCTGATCCTCTCTGTCACAGACAGGGAGGATCAGTGGATTTTATTGTAATTTCAGGCTCAATTTCTCTAGTTTGACTCCATTGTAAGGCGTCAAGACTTGTTTGGCTGTTTAGCTTCAGGCTGCAACTCCTCGTGTAGATCACAAAGCTGCAACATCTGAACCAACCCAAAATAATCTCTGCATCACTGTATCACTCTGTAAAACACAAAACTGTCATTACCAGAAAGAGGGAGAGAATGTGTAATAAAGTGATCTGAGTTTCATCGATAATTCTTTGATTTGCAAATAAAACCAGTTGTTTAATCTGTGCCTGAAGTGTTTTTCTCTGACCAAGCTGCTCACTCGGGGGATGAAACCAGCTTCCATTTTGCAGCATTTCTCTATCTGAGCTGGGGTTTCTTTTAGTGTCTGTGACTTTGATGGATCTCGGCAGATCTCAGATTGTAGATGTCACCAAGGGGTTAAAATTATCCTTACAGAGATAAGTACCCCTTAATGTTTATAGCAGTGTTAAATGAGGGATGTGAAACCAAGGTCCAGTGTTTGTTCATTAAATAACAAAGTCAGCTGCTGTTAAATGGACTAGAATTTGTTACTAAGCAACAACCTTAACTCAGTGAATCTAGCTCAGCTCATAATAAAGTTTCTTCTGTTGGTCAACCTGACTGCCTGATTACACCTGGTTTGGAGATTTGAACAGCTGACACATTCTCAGAGATGTGCATTGTTTCCATGACCACCTATGCATGTTTTGTGCACACACAGTGTGGCACTAATTCAGGTCTTATCTTTCAGATTGTCAGCATCTCTAGTGCAAATTATGGATGAATATAGAAGCCAACAATCACAAACACGTACATTGTCACAAATTCATACAATTACAAGAGGAAAAATCCACATCCAGTTATTTATCAGAAACCTTTAATAAATTCTGACTATTGAGAAACTAAAAGTCAGATGCTGTTTCATCTCTTTGTATTTTAGTAAAAGCTCTTTCAGCTCTCAAAGTTTCCCCTCTGACTGTTTTAGCACTAACTATGTTTCAGCTCTAACCCATGTGAAGCTGTGGGCCATTGACAGACAGTGCTTTCAGACCATCATGATGAGAACCGGCCTTATCAAACATTCTGAATATATGGACTTTCTAAAGAGGTGAGTATCCAAGAAATATATGATCTCATCACCGTATGCACAGATACAGTCAGTAGCTAAAGTTCAGCTGGTGTGTACAAGCTGTTTTAGAAACATAAAATGTTATACAGTACCTTTCAGAAAGTATCCATGAACTTAAGGAAAAACCATAGACAGAAACTGAAGTGTGGCTTTTTGATTTACGATTTAATACTGATTAACGACTGAATTCTGCCTTTACAGTGTTCCAACCTTCAAGGGTCTTTCAGAGGAAACTCTCAGTAAAATGGCAGATGTCATGGAGGAGGTGAGTCCATCGTCACAATCATCATAATCTCTTCGTCTTTTGCTGTGAATCATTTAGTCAGACACTTTGCGTCTGTGTCCAGACTCACTATGATGATGGAGAGTACATCATCCGACAGGGCGCACGCGGCGACACCTTTTTCATCATCAGCAAGGGGAAGGTTAGTCTACCCTTCTCCTCCTCTGCCTCGATGCTATCAACATTATATATTCTAAGGAGACCTGATCTACAAACATGCTCCTTGCCAGGTGAACGTGACTCAGGGGGATTTAGTTAATCAGGAGCCAATTCACCTGAGGGAGCTGGGCAGAGGGGACTGGTTTGGAGAGCGAGCGCTCCAAGGGTAAGACCAGGATCCCCCAAGACAACTAGCAACACTCAACCTTTTAGCTCCATTCAGCCATCCATCCTTCCATGTTATCTATGTGTTTTTCATTGATGCCTTCAATGTCCTGTACAGCCCTCCATCCAACTATCTGATCATTTCTTACTCATAGAATTCACATTGAGCTACATGTTAGTTTTATGAATTGTATAAATAAACAATCTTTTTTTTAACTTTCTTCAAATTCTAAGACATACATGTTTGAGAAAAAATTGTGTTGAAAATGTAAAATGTTTATTCATCTGAAATAATCACAGATTATACATTCTTCTGTGCTCTGAATGAGGTTAATCCTGTAGTTTGTTCTCAATAACTGTATGTGTGTTTTCAGGGAAGACGTGAGAACAGCCAACGTCATTGCTCTTGAGGCTGTTACCTGCCTGGTTATCGACAGAGAGTAAGTTCCCCATTGTTTCAGAAGAGTCTAACACGCCTGGACACAGCAAAATTAAACGTCTTCATTTTCCAGTGTTGATGTTTTATGTTAAAAGTATACAACATCTAATTTAAGTATGCAAGAATCAGCACTTATCAGGGTTAATTTTAAAATAACAATTAGCAGAGTTTCTCCCAGAATAAATTTGAACTCGTGCACTAACGACAACTTCAGAGGACTTCGCAGTAGTGGTGTAGGATGCCAAAGTTCATCCTACAGCTTTAAATGTAAATCCCTTTTTTTTCCCACAATGGGAAAATTCACTCTCTGGTCTGTCACTCTGTGGCACCGGGGGAGCAAGGTTAAGGGTCTTGCTCAGGGAGTCAGAGTGGCAGTCTGTGGGGCTTGAACTCAGAGCCTCCAGGACCCAAACACAATGCTCTAACCACTAAGCCACAACTTCCCCCTTTAGGGTCACTGGTTCAAATCTCAGCTCAGTCATTGTATCCATGGGCAAGACACGTAACTCACACTGATGAAGTATTAAAGGTGTTCACATAGGAGCCCCTTTGTTATGCTGATCAAACTCAGCTATATGATCTATGTTAACTCGTGTTAACTTTTAACAATATACTGTATGTTAAATAAGTTCAACCCTGAAAAATAAACTATTAAAAGTGTTGCATTTTCAAGTGTAATTTGAACTTGATCAAGTCTGGACCAATACAGACACTTTAAAGTGTTGAATTTAATTCCCTAGGAGTTAAAAGAACATTTCTAGATTTGCTGCATAGAAATGAAACATCCAACAGCTTTGTGTTCAGTGTAATCATTCCACAGACCATGTTTAAAATATTAGATTTGAACTTTGGGAAAAGGCATGACAGGTTTGTTAGGTTGATGCTGCTCTCTGCTGGCTTTCTTAATAAACTGCATAACCTGTTATTTCATATTAGTATCTGTTCCTGTCTGTGTAGGAACAGATATTCTTGGTGCAAACATGAGGCTACATTTAAAGCTTCCAACAACTTATCAGAACATCTGCAGTTATCCACTGGCTTGCAACTGCAATTTCAATTCATTTGCAGTCCCTAACCTGCAGAGGTGTCAAGTAAAAAAGTACAAATACTTTGTTACTGTACTTAAGTACACTTTTTAGGTATCTATACTTTCATCCATTACTTATTTTTCTTCCTACTTCTGACTTCTACTTATTACATTTTCACACGAGTATCTGTACTGTACTTTCTATTCCTTAAATTTTTAAAACAAATGTTACTCGTTACTCTTGGAAGCTCTGTCTACAACATTCTAATTGATTTACCTTAAGACTGCTGAACCTTCTCAGAAACGTTGCGTGGTTCAAAGCGGTCCCAGTCCAGTCTAGTTACTTCATATCTTAGAGAGTATTGTGTTTGTCTTTGCACAAACACCAACCAACTATCAGGACTAATCTCCAGCGACATCTGTATTTGGGACCACTTTTAACTTGTCACCATGGTCTGGTCAGACCAGGTGTTCCAGGAGAGACTAAAGCCTCATGCTGGTATTTATTGTAGTAAAAGTATCTAATGAGTCAATCCCTTTTGTTCCTTCAGCTCATTCAAGCATCTGATTGGTGGACTGGATGACGTCTCAAATAAAGTCTACGAGGATGCTGAAGTCAAGGCCAAGTAGGTTCCTCAGTCACATCATCATAAGGGTTGGGGTAGGCTAAAAAAAGTTAAGCTTTTTATTAAAGTCTTCCAATTTTATCATATAACAATTATTTACAAATCTATTCACTGCAGTTAAGTAAGAACTGACAAAACACAGCCGGAATTGAACTCAGGCGGTTGTTTTATATCTCCAAACATAAAACTGAGGTACCGGTAATTTTACTTTCTGTTCTAAAGGTTCAAGACAAATTAGTAGTGTTTGAAGTGCAACACCAACATTTTTTTATATTTACTGAATCCCCTGTTGCTATATATCCAAGTTAGTTTTATAAAACACACCAGGTTTGAGGAAAGCCAAGATGAACCATAATGAACAATAATGAAACCAAATATTTCTCATTGATCTGACTAAGCTGTTAAGATTTAATTAAGCAAAAGTTCAACAGAAGCAAAAATCCAAAACATAAATCCACAAAAACAGGGAAACAGGAATAATCACAACAAGGGGGCAAAAAATGACGACAAACCAGCAAAGAGTGACTGAACAGGAGAAGAATATATGGGAGAGAGAAACAAAGACCAGTCTAATTAGCAGATTGGGAGCAGGTGTGGACAGAGGAGGCAAGAAGGGAGCTAGGGAAAAGGAGACTGACACAAGGGGGCAAACAAGAAATATCTAGGAACTCAAATACAATCAGAAATAGATAGAACTCAAAAATTGAAATAAGACCAATGAAAACTCAGAGATAAAACTTGAACAGAACCAAAACCATGACAGTAGTGTGAACCTATGAGCTCTGTGATGTTTCTTAGTAGTTACTTTATATATGGGGATGTTTCTAGCAGATCAGCTTCCATTTAGAATAGGAACTAGGACCAATCTTTCCATAATTAGGAATAATTTCAGAAAAAAACAATATATAGCTTAATGCCTAAATTTCTTTTCATAAATAGTTGAATAAACAAATCAAATGGATATGAAATGCAACAAAATAAAAGAAAAAAAAAGAAAATCAGATATTTCTATAAATATATATATATATATTTGAAATTCAACCTTTCTCTGTTGCATTTATTCACAATTTTTTTAAGGTCCCTTAGGGTAAGTGGACAGTCTTCCAAAGTATTATGTATAAAGTCATTCACATTTAAGCCTCGATTTAAAAAAAAGCATGACTCATTAGGAGACTTTTTTTTCCTGATCTAACTAGAGAAAGCATATTCCCGCAACTTGAAATTTAAATTTAGTTTTTTAAGCTTTTTTAATCATATGTTCCAAAGATAAAAAGAAATAACCGTAATAATTAGGAACAATATTAATCAATGGATTATTTATAATTTTAAAATAAACTGTAATTGAATTATTTCTCTGTTCTTTTTAAAAATTTACTTTCTATAAATGTCACCTTAAAAGGTTCATATATATTAAATATTCATATTTTGGACATTTAAAATACAATTATTTTATTTTCATGTAATCATCAAATACGTCAATGATTGTCTTTGAAAAAGTTTCAATGTAATTTAGCCACAAACAGGTGGAGAAACGGAAACTTTTAGAGGCATTTGTGGGCAGTAGACATTCATCCAATCAGGATTTAGCTCATGCTGTAAACAAGCCGACATACAGTAACATTTGAGGGTCATTTGACTTCAAGTCATGTGACACCATGTAGCTTGATACTCTTATGTTTCCTCTTATGGTATAGATTTGATATGGCACACACACACACACACACACACACACACGCACACACACATTCATAAACCAGATGCTAGCTGTCTGTCACAGCTGTTGTCATGGTGGTAAACAAAAAACAGTGAAACCTGAGTGTGCATTTGTCCTTTAGTGCTGTGTATTCGTTAAACTTTGTTCTATTCAAAAATCTGAGTTTTATTTATAAATTTAAGCTGGCTAAAGGAAACAGGAAGAGATTATGTTAATTCTTAATTGGCAGAATTATTTTGTAAGTTTTATAAATACCCGCTGACAGCAGAGAAAACTTTAGAAATCCCTATTTGTTCAATTTAAACTTTATGCATCCTTTTGAAGGAAGTTTTTTTTTTTTTGTTATATAAAAAAAATATTATAAAAACACACCAACAATCTAAACTTTACAAGAAACCGAAAAAAAAAACAATACTTCAAAAAAACAAACAAAACATTTTAAATTCTGTATCTTGTCTCCAGTCTCCCTTTATTTAACCTTTTTAAACATTATTATTTTTACTCTGCTGGTCTTTCTTATCATTGTGTACTTTTTATTTGTAATGAGCTCTTTATCTCTTTCTTACCGTCGCCTTATTTTAGACTATTTGAATACAGGCCAACAGTAGCCAGAAACCTGATTCCACTTCTTCCTGGAATCAGTCTGGTCCTGCATGTAGAACTGAAGAGGCTTTGTTTGCCAGTCCCAATATAGAAATATGGGAAACATTATCAAAACATAAAGGTATGATGACAGTATCTTAAACTGTTTAGCCCACTCTTCTTCTGAGATTTCTTCACAATTCCCAACAGCTCTCAGTACCCTAGGTATACAGTATCAAGTAGAGATAATGGTTTAGACTATTATACAAATAAATAGTAAAAACAAAATCATATATTGTATTTTCTTGATATATTTTTTGTTAGATTAAGTCTCTCACAGTAGACATTCACCTACAATGACTTTTTCAGACCCCTCCGTGATTTCTAACTTACAACATAGCAAGGGTATAAGTATTCAAAAACTTCTTCTCCTAACCTTTAACTCAGTTTTTACTTTAAAATTGTTTGGCTTAAGTATATGGACCAGTCAATATGCCACATTCACTATGCTTAATAGTAGATGTTTGTGCTAATATCCTGTCATACATGACCTTTTGCATTCCGAATAAACATCTCTACTTTGCAGTTCGATCCTTTCCAATGACCCTCTTGTTTCCTTTTTGAGCTTTGACCTGGTATAAGTTCTTCATTTTATTTTATTTTATAACTTTCTGTTTTTTATTTTCCTGATTTCATTTTTTTTTATTTTATTGCATTATTTCTTCATCTTAAACATTTTTATTCAGCATTTTAGATAGTACCTACTCTTTTTAAAGTGGTTTGATTTTAAATTGGCTTGGTCTCTTGCAAGAAGCGTTCTTACGAACAGATCTGATCTTTAATCATCTGTACGAGTGATCTTGGAGAAAATGTCACATTCACTATTTTCTTCCATTTCTAATCTTCCCTCAGGTAGGAACAATTTTTATGAGTGCTTCAGACTTGATGTAAAAGTGTAACGCAAAAAATCAGCTGTTATCCAAACCTAGTTTTTCTCTAAATGACCACAATTGTTGCTACTTAGAAGAAATTGTCCATTTTATGAGGTTACATCATATATTTCATCCAACTGCATTACAGTATAGACATTTTAATGATACGTTGTATGAGAGAGATGGAGCGTGAGATGAAGGGAAGACAGATGTGGTCTGGAGAGATACAGGACACGTGTTTGCATGTATTAAAAGGAGATTTTGCAGAATACTGTGTCGTGTTGGTATATATTTTTTGTAATTTCTCTGAACAATGCAGACTGATCTAAAGCTACATTTGCTGGGGTGTCAACTTGACTAAAGATAAGCAAAAATCTTTCTTTCTTGTTTAATATACTCTGAATAAATAATTTATTGTAGGACTTTTTTAATTGGTCATTTTAGGTAAGGAAAGTCTGATTTAGGATCTTGTGAAAACCAAGCGACTTGATTTTGTGGCTTGCTTTACTTTAGATTATTTGACAATTTGTCTAACTTTGTCGGCTCACAGATGGTTCCTTTGAGGAGATATGGAAATATTAGGACAATAGTGCGCAGTAAATGGCCTGTAGATTCTTGATTTAACTAGAGTTTAGTGACTATTAGTCCTTAGTAATGTGAGGTAGATAATATGTTGTATGTTGATGTGAAAGAACCTCTTTCCCATTAAGGAAAACGATAAACTCAATCCTAATGTTGATCCCTGGATACAGAACAGGTCAGAAAGCTTTGAGGAACTCTGATAGAAAATGAAACCTGGGAATCCTTTGCTTTTTTAGGTCTGGACAGTCTGTGCTCCTGTCTCCTGACACTGAGCCAACCTCTTTAATAACTGACCTTCCTTTAGCAGCTCAACCTTAGAGCAATGTTTCCCACCTCCTAAAAATACCCATTAGCAGCAGCAACTCCCACTATTCAGGCTGTCCTCTCGATGCCAGCCTGCAGGAGTCAACCGCTGCAGAAAGGACTAACATCTCAGGGTCTAGGGTACAGTCATTGAAGTGTCCTCAGTTTAACTGTCCCACCTCGGCCTTCTTTCTTTCTTTTTGTGCGTCGGTCAGAAAAAAGTAAAGTGATTTGTTCGGAGGTGATGCTGTTCTCAGTTTTTCCTGGATTCTGACAGCAGTTTGTTCACTTCAGGACCAGCCTCTTCTCACTAGCCTTATGCACAAACCTCTGGAGGATCCGGCAAAATCACCGCCCGGCCGGTACCTCCACAGCAGAACTCTGCAGGTCCACCACTGCCATCAGTGCTGTCCACACAATGTAAACTGGACGTGGAGCTCATCCTTTGAGAAGGCTCTGTTACAGACGCTCTGCCGAACTTTCTCGTGAGGTTCTAAGATTTTGTGTCTTTATGCCTGTGACTAAAAACATATTTTTCTGCTGAAGACCAGTGAGAAAATAATCTGGATCCTGTACATTAGGTTTCACTCCTTAATATATCCATCAACCGATTAAAGGCTGGTTCAGCCTCTCTGCTCAGCAAGAGCACTTTTTTTTTATTATTCAATTTATTGAACACAACTTGAACATGAGAGAGTTGCTTCCCACCCCAGTGAGGCGGAAGCAGGAACGCCTCCCCAGCCTTCCTTCTCCTTCTTCTCACTCCTTCCCCATCACCTCCTTCTCCATCCAGACCTCCAAGAAATTTCCATTCTTCCATGTGGTTAAGTCCTGCAGGTAAGACAGCAGGGTCTTCCATTCACTGGACAGACTTTATCCAAACAAACTCTCCGTCAGAACGGTACTTTTGTTCAGGATTTGTCATGACGTGATTTTGTTTTTTAACTTTCCAGATACGAAGCTGAGAATGCCTTCTTCTCCAGCCTAAAGCTTGATGACTTCAACATCATTGATACTCTGGGAGTGGGAGGATTTGGACGAGTTGAGCTGGTACGTCTCAAGCTTTTGTCAGTGACTCTCTAATGCAGCTAACAGGAGCTTAAACCTAAAATCTGATCTGGTGAGATATAAGTTTCTAGAAGCAAGAAAAATCTTCTCCACTATGACTGATGTTGAACAAGTTTCAGAAGGTTTCAGGAAAAATAAACCACTTCAAAGTTTGAAACCAGTTATTCAATTCCATTATATTTAAACAGAAACAATATAACATCACAACCCTGCATGTTGCACAGCTGAATGACACAAATCAGTGATTAAGAGGCTTCTGCAGCACTGGATGGCTGCTGAGGAGATCTTACAGTCATTTTAATCAGGTGTCTTTCAACAGAGAGATGCCAGAAATATGTAGGGCAGTAGTATTTGAGGACCAGGATTGAGAAGCTCTGAGTAACTGTGCTATGTTTCTAGTAAATCATTGCTTGTAACTAAAGAAAAGTCCTCATGTGCTTCAGAGATCATAGACCTGCAGTCCTTGACCAGAACAGGTGTAGGGATATTCAGTTAGAGGTAGACGGATGGAGGGGGGAGCTTTTTGACGCATTGCAGCTCAAGGAGTTGGGTTTCCCTACTGCAGGAGGCGGGGTTGGAGCTTACTGTTGGTATAAGGGAAAGCCCTGCGGGTTTAACCAAAAACAGATTGGATTCCAGGCTCGGGATCTCCTCCTGAGGTATTTTTAGTTGTTGTGAGTTTAAAACTGTGCTGTGAGAAAGAAGTTGACCTCTGGCTGTGGAGCGCCTGTCTGACCTCACCGGATCCCTAATGACATCATCTGTACTAAGAATATGACTGTTTTAGAGTTACAACATACAGCTTCTTTTACTGCCTTTACTGTAATGTAAACCTATATATTCCAGAACAACTTTTTTGGGGGATTTCCTGGTATCACAGTGAAATATTTAAATAAATATTAAAGGTGAGCATTTAATGCTACTAATCAAAAAATTCCTTTATCTAATAAAAGAGGTAAGTTTCCAAACATGTCAGTAAAACCTTAGTTACTAAAGGTAGCTGCAGGTCAATCTGCTCCATGAGTGGAAACCCATCTTCAGTTCCCTGTTTTTCCATCACTGTTGGCAGAATAAGAGGGTCATGGGTTGGAACTGGAGCTCAGATAACCTGACATGGAGAATCCGTCCAGGAATAGAGGATTATGTCATGAACTATAAGAAGCACAGTGAGGTGTTTACAGCCTAAGCAGTCCTCATGTAGACCATACTATCACTAAAACATACTATTGGCACTTTAAACTTGTAGAAACGACTGATGTTTCTAAAATAAGCACAGTTTAACAGTTTAATATAAAATAAATAATAAATAATAATACTAGACACAGCTCTAAGATTCTGACAGTGCAGAACCAGAACTTAGAATAGCATAATTTCTATACATGCACAGATATTGTAACAATCAGAAAATGCTATTTATTTATTATTTATTTCGAGCTGAAATGTAACAATTTGAGGGATTTTTAAAGAGCAAGGAAAATCTGACGGGAACAAAAAAAGAGGTGGGAAATATCTTTACAGCTAATCCAGTCGTTATAAAATTATTTTAAAAAATGTAATATTTGAGAGCTCAAGGTGAATGTTTCTGTTAAAGACCTGAATGTGTCTTGAATAAAATGACAAGTGTTAATATCAGGATATAAAAAAAAGGTTAATCATAATTTAATCATTTGCTTCGTCAATAACAACCAAACGCAAAACACTTGGTTGCATTTTGTTTTTTATTATACTAACAAAATTAACAACTCAGTCGAAATTCCATGCAAAATGAAATATGATGTTAAGAGGAATAAAAGAAAATGTTTATCAGGTGAGAAAGCTTTAGAAAGCATAACCAACATCTAATTTATTTCCCATCATGTCACAAAAAAATGCAATGTCATGTTAGCACCAAGTGCTGGATAGCAATGATACCACATTATGATGCCCGTAGGCATAGGTATACCTTTAGCAATCTGTTCTATAAACCTTATAACATTGAAGACTAAAGAAATTTTGTATTTCAGGTGCAACTGAAGAATGAGGAAGCTAAAACATTTGCAATGAAGATTCTGAAGAAACGTCATATTGTGGACACGAGGCAGCAGGAGCACATCCGCGCAGAGAAACACATTATGACTGAGGCGCACTCAGACTTCATCGTCAGGTCAGAATATTCTGAGTCTTTATCTTTAATTTGCTAAGTTATGTAGTAAAACCATGTCCTGATAGAAGTAATTCAACTTCAGAAAATTCAGGGTGGATTTATATCTTTCTTGTTTAATCTGCTATAAATGGACCAGATTGATTTCCCCTCTCTTGGCCATTTACAGTAGTACAGGTATGAATACATTCAAACCAGTAACAATTGGAGGATTATTTAGCTGATAGGGAGCAGGTGTAAACACAAGTAACTAGAAGGAGCTAAAGGAAAGGAGACTGGCAGAAGGGGGCAACAGAGAGCAACTCAAAAAATACAACACTGCTTAAATATAACAAGAAAAGTAAAAGAAAGCAACTACACAGAATGACATAAATCAAATTGTAACTACAGACTTAAAAAGAAACTAAAACAGAAGCCCACAAAGGGCAGGATCATGACAAGTTCACTTGCTAAATGAATAATGTAAGCACAAATCACACCAAGCAAAAAAGATAAGCTTAGGATAAACTTTTGGTCCAGATCCAACATGAATACCTCATAACATCCCTGGTGTGAACAAACCCTTAAATCTAGTATTAGTTATTTTATCTGGAGG